CCTCTTTATAGGGATGGCCCTGTTGTCAATGATGCTGTCTGCAAGAATTGTACTGTTCTGTAACACCACATACAGCTTCAAGGCCTTTCCCAAGCATGTAGTAGTAATAATAATACTGATAATACTGTAGTTGAAATGATTGGTGTTTTTTACCCATCGTGCCCTCAATGTCACAAAAAGGACCCTCTTCCCGCTGTACAGTATTTTTGTTTTAATTTATTTTTGCATTTATGTGTCCCACAAGGCAGTGGCCAGCTCCCAGAACCAACAACCCCTTGCCAATCAGCCTTGAAAATAGCCAGACTGATTTTTCAGATTCAACCCTCACACACACACACACACACACTCACACACACACACACACCACACACACACACACACACACACACACCACACCACACCACACACACCACACCACACCACACACCACACCACACCACACACCACACACCACACACCACACCACACCACACACACCACACACACACACACACATTGACTTCAATGGGGTTCGAATGAAAAATCACAATTTCACAAAATGTGTGATGATTTGGCCCATGGATCGAACCCAGGTGCATTTTCTCATCACCCTTCCTTAGAAATATGGACAGAAGTCTTACCAGTGATTCCTCTCGGGCTTACGTCTGTTAGGAATTTTAGAGTAATTAATGAGCAATTACATTGTTTCCATCTCTGGAACCCACCAGGGAGGGAGTTCAGCATCCACATCTGTATAAATAGTCGCGATGGGACAATGAGAGCGGAATACGGGGGGACCGAATCATGGACACCGTCTGTTACATCTGAGCTTTGCAGGTTAGTGTGTGCGGGATCTCACAATTTACTGTAACATGGAGACAGGACATTCACATAGTAACTATATATAATTATATACATACACTAAGTGGCCGGATTATTATATACACTGAGTGGCCGGATTATTATATACACCGAGTGGCCGGATTATTATATACACTGAGTGGCTGGATTATTATATACACCGAGTGGCCGGATTATTATATACACTGAGTGGC